TAAAAGTATGTTTGCCTGAACTGTTTGTAGTAACACCTCTAAGGTAATTAGCATGATAACAGATCACTTTAAATCATTACTTGGCATAGGGAGAACAAGACCTTTATAACTCAATCAATTTTTACAGCACATTATAATTTTCTTCCCACACCATACCAGTTGAAGCTAAACAGACACACAGAATAATGGGAACCTACCCTCGAAGGCTGATTTCACTGTTCAAAACATAGGAATTGATAAGAATGTGCTCTCCGTAGAAGTTTACTGTTTGTTCTCTGCAGCAAGAGGACTGCTGAAGGACCACTGATAGCAATGTGAAGCTCTTTGCTTGGTTTTTTCCATTATAATAACAATTAAAGTAAGAAATGGAACCACTTCCATTTCACGAATATCTAGGCTGGAGATCATTGGGCTTTTCTGCGCAACTGTCTCGAACCTGTTTTGGAATTAATGCTGGTAACAACAACAGTGTCCTCCGAACCACCTGATTATCCAGCAGCTACTGTGTGGCTGGCACCCTCGGTCTAACCTCTTCCACCACCAAGCAGCAGAGGCCAGGGGAGCAGCCGAGATGAAGGGCTGCCAAGGTACGCGTCCCTGCGAGAGCGGGGCCGGCGCTGCCCAAGGGCAGCAGAGGACAGCAGGAAGCAGGGGCGACCAGTGTCAGCACAGCTATATAATTAGTCACCAGTTTCCACGAACATCAACGTACAAAAGAGATTATGATTTTAGTAGGAATACCATCAGGTTCAACTCTCAAGACAATAAATTCACTGATTACTTTTATCACACAGTTGTAGTAAAAATCTTAAGGACAGTACATTAGTTTCTATCTGCATTGATTCTTTAATATGGTTCATATGAAAGATAGGAATGTATGCACCATTTCTCATTTCCAATTGTGGTTAAAGATTATAAAATGATTCCTAATGATTAAATCATTCCTCTGTAGTCATTAAGAGTTTTTACATTCTTACTATATATTTATTTAACTGACTACTGAAGAAATAGCATTTAGCTTGTGGTTCTTTTGTACAAATCAATAACACGATTATAACTTTTTCATTAAATAATTATCCCTGGCTTGCTTTTTTTTTGATTGTTTTGAAATTAACAGGGAACTCCCAAACATCAGATATTTTGAAAAAAAAAAAACACTTATAGCCTGATTTATCATAAACGATTAAGGAATTCGGGGGGGGGGGCGGGGGGGAAGGTAAAAGTGTAGATTTATTCAAGAACTCCCTGCATACTGCTACTCTCGTGAAAGTACCGGCATACTAATTTTTATCACTTGAGAGCTGGCAAATCCAAAGCTACGACCAAGTTTTGTGTGAGTAATGTACTGGTGAGTTAACATAAGGTCAGGAAGAGTGGACAGCACTGCAGACCCACTCGGGAAGCCTGCGCAGAAGACCTGGTCATTTCCCTGAATCCTGCCTTGCGCGGGGACTCCTCGTGCTCTTTGGCTGGGTGAGGAGCAGGAGCACAAAAAAGGGGTGGCTAGGATATGGTCACAATTCCCAGCTGGGGACTGTCACGTCTTGAAGGGTTCAAGCAACCAGTTCAGATTAGAGAAGCCTCATTTGTTCTTTGCCCACCGTTCATGGGCAAATCTCTGGAGCAGGAGGACACAACAGTGCTGTACAGCACAGCTTGGCTATATCAAGGCCAGAGGTGTTAAGCTTTTTCTAATTCAAAAGCAACAACTTAAACGGGAACCTGTCTGACACCAAGGTGAAACTCTACATGTTGTACCTCCTCTTGTTGCCGCTCTGCCCCGTAACACCTAGACACGGTAGTCCTGTTGTAGTTACGGGAGTTACACCCTGGTCCATCTGATGTACTATAACTCTGATGTACAATTCAGAACATATGTATTAAATATTAAGACAGTTTTGCATTATTGCTACAGCTATTTTCAAATAGGTTTTCTCTTTTTTCTATCACTACACAGCTGGATAAATCTGGGTGTTCTTTTCCGAAACAAAATGATACAGAATGGTCACTGCACTTCGAGGTAGTAAACGTAGGTAATTGCTAAGCTAGCTTTGGAATAAGCCACAGATAAGCCTGGATAAGCTACAGATTAGTTTGGAAAAATTAGACCTGACAGATTACTGTATGCATTTCAAACAGAATTTCTGTTGAACAGATAATTTGTAACTATATCAAATTTTTCATAAAAAATACTCATTTTTATAAATATATCTTAAGATTCTTTTTGTTGATTACAATGTAAAAAAGAAGGAATAACTGTGTATGGACAATGATAAAGTAGCCTGTTGATAATAAATATTTGTCAGGTCTTGTCACATCTGTACACATTCCAATGTTACTGAAGAGACACCACACTGATAAAAAAAAATACCCTCAGAAAAATCAATGGATTTTGAGCTAAAGCAGTTGCTAAACACACAGAAAACATCTTTATCCAACAGCCATAGTGCTGTGAAAATTCCCAAGCCTTGCATTGGTACAGCTAAGGAAAATTTAATCTTCCCAAATACTCATCAGGGCACTCCATCCTGCAGACCTGACAGCCCCACTTATAATTAATTATACAATTTCGATGGGAATATCGACTAAACAAAGCTATAAATCATAGAAAAAGTCAATAGGCATGGACACATTCAATCATGTCCCGACCAATGATTACTACTCTTAAAATACAATAATTATTTTCAGGAGCCAGCTTGAATTAAATTTCTGTCAGGCTGGTACAAGACCGGCGGTTGATGAAGGATGCGATGGATTTTTTGGGTTGAATTCGGCACAGAGACATTTATCCTTTTAGATAGGTAGTTTGTTTTTAGTGATCATGGTGCTGCGTGTTTAACTAGACCATGAAGATTAGATTATCTCCAATGGCTCATTATATCGTTTATCTTTTCCTTCCATGTTTGATCTGGAAGATTTCCCACTTCTTGATGCATGAATGAAATGACTGCTGATTTTGAAATGGAATGTGCTTAAGTGGGATTCTGCCTATGCCTTCATACACCATGTCCACGTATGTAAAGTCAACCAGCAGTCACCCAAAATACCACTAGGATGTGGTAAACGGCAGCAACAAGAATAGCTTTGCTCAGTTTTAGAAATGTACTGGGAAAAAATAAAAATGACAAACATTTGAGTTGTTTTAAAAAAAGCTAAAAAGATTATTACAATAATACATGTAGAGGAAAATCTGGGAAAGGAATGGGATTAGTATGGAAAGAGGAATTGGGATTAGTATTATTACTTTGAATTAAATGTCCCCAAAACTGCAAAACATCAGTGAAAGAAACATTACGTATTTCCCAAGGATGCATTCACCTTGCAAATTAAAAAAAACCCCAAACCAACTTATCTCACAGTAACTATGTTTTTAAGATATGTTGCCTACACAGATGGTGGTAAGCACACATGCCACACATGAAAAACGTGCTGTGAGAAGGGACAGCAGTTGCAATGAACAGGATGGACATCAACAGATGCTGAAAGGAGAAACAGATCTTCACTTTCCTCATGAGTCTGACTCATCAAACTCTTCTGACCTCAAGAAATGAGTGAGATCTCAGATTCTCGCTCGGAATTAACCTCCTAGGTGTAAGTCAACTTAAAAGCAGAGAGGGTAATAGGGCTTTAGCTGTCCTCCTTGCCCTGGATCCTTGCAGAGAGCCCTCCAAACAGCCCAGTTCTCTGTGAACAGCAAGAGAATAAGCCGTAGGTAGGAGAGAAGAAGAAAGAGAGGGGAGACTCATGGATCCTGTGTACATCCCCTCCCTACGCAAAAAGTAGCAATACACTGTGCGAGCAGGCACACTGTGTATTTGGTACAGCGTGCGGCAAAACTGAGAGGTGGGGACTAGGGCAAACACAAAAGCGTTCTCAAAAAAGCTGAGACACAGAAGATTAATCCCTTGTCTTCTTTTATTTTGGGTATGAGGAAGGAAGGTAAAATTCAGTCACCCTGAGGAAAGGACTGAAGAAAGGAGGGGAACCTTGGCTAGCTTGCCAGCCTGCACAAACAACTTTGACACACACAGTTTCCGCAGAAGACACAAAGTTTTCTGAAGGTTTTCTTTGTCTAGTGTAGCCTATTTATATAGCTCAGAATATTCAATGTACGAATACCGTTAGTTTATGCACACATATGCAGGTCAAGATCCGACACAAGCTAGCGTAGCTCTTTTCTGATGTCAGTGAAGTTGGGCCAATTTCCACAAGCAGAGGGTCTGGCCCATGACATCCACAATAAGGCTCCCACATGCAATATGCACATTCCTGATTTTTATCTGTGCATAAATGTTTGTTTTTTTTTTCCTTCGGATGCTTAATATTTTTCCTTTAGATACATAACTCCTAGGAACCTTAGATGAAATTGAGAAAGCTGCAAGCAGTGATGTAGAGATTTTCAAAAATGAAGCGGCTACATTTTGAAATAAAATCACCTTAAAGAAGATATAAAGCCATTCTCCACGGAAAAATCGTAGTCCTCATTACAAATCGGAATGTTAGTGTTCCCTGTCTGCTTTCTTCTCTTAGGAAGCCCTATATGATTGCCCAAGCAGTGGCAGTCTGCTGCAGGGTTTGAGCTTTCTATTCTATTTATTCATGTATTTCTATCATTCTTTGCACACTCAGAAGACCCGTATATTTTCAGAATAGCTGGCTTTTCCTAAGTTACCATAGTGCACAATTAAGAGCTAGTAAAGAAACAGGACGCTTGAAGAAATGCAGACCAGAGGACAGAGAAGAAAAGTGAATTGTCAGGTATATTTAATTTACAATTTTTTCTATGAAAAAGAAGGTAAACAGATGCCAAAGTTAAGAAGCTGTACACAAAACAACTGGCTAAGTGAGGAGAAAATTTGGAGCAATTATTGTGTTAGATGAATTATCTTTTCTCATTCTGTAGACAGGAGGGCTGATAAGGATAAAGGGCTGGTAGAGAAATACAATTTGTATGTGAGCTTCCAACTTATTCCTTCAAAAGTGTTTAGCAATGAACTTACCGCAGTGCCATTGTTATCTCTAAATACATCTTGATTAAAATAGTCGAAGAGCTTCTTTTCTAATTGTAGCATAACCTAAAAAAAAAAAAAAGAGGAGAAAGGTCAGCAAAGCTCTTGGACTCGGCTACCTAGTACACAGCTGTTGGAAGTGACCCGTTTAGAGACATGCAACCCTTTAAAACTACACGACATTTCTACATGTCTAAAGCTCCTTGTCAGCTTGCCCATTTGCTTGACTGGCAATCACTTAAAAAGATCCAATTAACTGAGCATTAGGTGTGACAATCTATATCCCTCCCCTCCCTTTAAATTATCAGTTTGAAACAACTATATTCATGCTCTGTAGAAAAGAAAGTGAACATTCAACAACGTTTCTATTTACATAGGGTACAGAGGGCATTAAGTTGTTTACCTTTCGGTCATTATCAGATTCACGAAATATTAGCTTGACTACTTCATTTGTGTCAGCTGCCCGGATAGTCTGCATTGTAGCCTTTGCACATAGTGTCTAATAAAAAACACAAAGGGAGAAAGGGAAACTAGTTTATATGAAACATAAGGCCACATTTAATTGAACTTTATCAATCTATGTATCTTCAATGCCCACCTGAAAATATGATTTGCTGTAGGTCAAAATACAAAGCATTGCTAATTTAAGTCATTTCCACTCATGATGGATTTAAAACAATAAACTGAATTACTGTTTGGAGAGAAACAGGCAATATTAAGAAAATATCAATCAGATAAGGCAAATATTCATTTAACTTACTCCATGCACACAGATTCTTTCACAGGTCTGACACTGTATCACATATTACTTGTAAACATCCTCAAAAGCCACTTCCTACAGCTAATGACTCCACAGCCCTACTGGTTTCTGTACAGCTTTCTTAAAAGCTGATAACTACGTTGGCACTACAGTTCTGCAGGTTAACTCTTGTTTGCAAAAACTAACTTCTGCCTTGTAAATTAATGTTCCGAGTATAATTTAAAAGTCCAAGCAACACTTACACAACCTGACAATAAGTTTCACAGTTTACTCTGGATAGCAAATTCCCCATGCATCATCCTTTTAAATAAGAGACAACATCACATCTGTACGTATTTTGAGGACTGGGTGTCTAAAACATACTATAAATCAACCCTTTATCAGGGCACAGAGGTGTGAATTTCTGAGGAAGTGTCAGGCCCCAATTCATTTGCCACTCGCTGGTTGGGGCCCAGTTTCAATGGTGATCAAAGCTGACCTAGAGAATACTACAGAATAGGTTGTTTAAAGGGCTTGCTGTGTTGCATTGTAACAGGTGAAAATCTGGAGCTTTTAGCAAAGCAGTTAGGCATACATTTAACTTTAAAACATACTTTAGATTCACTGAATCTATACTTTTAGTGAAGCTTTAAGTATGTTAAGTGCTTTGAAATGCAGAAAAAGACTACATCTCAACTGTGGGGTGGGCAGGCTTCACAAAGTGCTCTGTAGTTATCCAGCTTGGGCAACGCTACTGGATGGCGTGTAATGCTACCCCGGCCCATCTGCCTGGTTGCCGGGAACCACGAGGCAGAAGACAGAAAGGGGAATTGAGAAAACCTTGGCAGTACTCAAAGGCAGAGAGAAAACGGCCAAGATGTGCACCCACACCTGGGAGGCAGTGCAGCATCTTTCGCTACAGCCGAGGCACAAGGTGCTGATAGGACCTGTGCACAGCCCTGGATAAGGACATTGGCAAAAACTATCCTTCTGAATAAAAGCTTATTTTTCTAGAGGTTCTTAACAAAAGCGTGCTAAAGAAAATAACTCAGTCAAGAAGAGGCAAATAAGCGACTTCCCTGCTCTGCTTTTTCCATTCCTTTTCATAATGGCCAGACAATAGATTTTCATTTTGCATAATATTCACTTATAAAATAAATACGTTCTGTGGTAATAGGGTAATAGAATTTCATATCCTACTACATGCTTCTTTCTCTCCCAAATAGAAATACTTATATTGGGATTCATTATTAGAAGTGCAGTATCTATCAGACACAATGCCATGAAACTACAGCTTACTTCTCAGTTTCCCATTCTGAATTTCTTCTGAAGGAAGAAATACATGCCAAACATGTATTTAAACAAAAATTCATCTGCTTCCAAATATTTTAGATCTCAGCTGAGGTTATACCCTATGCTACAATGGAAACAATCTGTCAATGGACTTTTTGCCCCATTTGATAGAAAGACATTAAAAAATTATCCTTGATAAAGGCCCCCATGTGTTGCCATAGTACAAACAAAAAGCCACGAGCTAAGCAATTTCATTTTTAATGGATAACTTGAGTGTGATTCACTAAAAATAAAATACAAATCTGATTTTTTTCTTCAAGTCTGTGAACTGAACAGGTGCCGATTCCCCATCTTACTGTATAAATGATGTCCTTTCCTAACAAATTTTTCTCGATTGTTTCCTCCCCCCCAAAAAGCAGTGCCACGTCTATAGACTACATCTAATTCTGGGTTTTATCCTAAAAAACTTGGCACACTCATGGCACCAACGCGGCCGTAGGTGTCTGTGAAATCACAGTTTTCACTGGAGAAAGGAGTACTGGTCACACGGCCACAGGTGTAGGCTGCCCTTTGAGAACTTCATCTGTTCTGCAGAATTTTAGGATGCTTTTTTGAAAGGCTTGGGAGAAGAGAGGGAAGATGCCGGCAGCAACTAGTTAAACCTAACTCCGCCTGGGAGGGAGGAGGAGAGGCACACCAGACTGACAGGGAAGCTGCACCTCTGGTACCACTTGTTTTAGGCACAGACCGACTAACTTTTCCCTCGCATCCACCATGTACCGTAGGATCCATTTTGTCTGTTTGGACACGTAATTACCGTTTTGCCATCTGTGTCTGTATGCAGACACCAGTGAGGTAATCCACCAGCGAGCCATTCCCAACGTGCGCTCCCTCCGATGCCGGCTATTGAAATTCAAAGCACAGATTAGCTAATCGGGTCAAGCCCAAAAAAATAGCGCTTTGGGCTCATGTGTCACAAATCAGTCTGGTCGCCTCTAAACAGCACACCAGATTAGAACAAGCACCCGAACAAACCAAAGCGGAAAACCCGCCGCTCTCTAAAGCTGGTTTCTAAAGCCCTAACAAATCGCTCCATCTTTCACTCATTTAAACTTTCCAAATGAGGGTCAATACGGTCCCCGAGCATCCAAATGCTAATGCGCTTAAGTGCGCTTAAGCAGCTTTCCAGAGTGAATGGGCCAAAGAAGGGCTCGAAAAGACACGGCAGAGTTACTGTCACTGTCAAAAAGTCATTGTAGCCACCCCCAGCGTGGTTGCAATTCAAGAAATTCATGATTTCTGTCTCTTAAAGGCATCTGCTTGAGAACATTTTTTTTCCTGAGCTGCTTTATCTCACAACTTCAGGCCCGCTCTAACAGAAAAAAACCCGCGATCGACTCTTGAGAACCAATACAGAGAAAGGACCCACATACGTTACTGCTTTCAAATTTCACATGCACAAAAAGTTACCTTATTCACAGACAAAAAGTGATTGGGCAAAGGTTCATTTCTTATACAAGCTGGAGCACTCCTTTTTTCCTCCTCCTTTCAATTTCTACAAAGTCGTAGTCACCCAAGCAGAAAACTTTGGGGAACATGTGCCTTTTTAGACACGTCTACTTATGAAGGGATTTTTTGTGGCTGGTAAAGAAAATCAAAATGCTATGAAAACACACTGTTTCTTTTTGGGCATTCCCTCAAAGGTACTCTTTTACAAAGTCAGAAGAGGGGAAATCAGATACCAAAACTCCTCTATCCAAGTTATCTTTTTAAAAAAATCTTTCTTTGGAAACAAGATTTGGTTAAAAAGTTTGTAGGAGATCTGTATTCAGAGCTGAGAGAGAACTCGGTATTCAGCCTTTACTTAGCAAACACAGACGTGTCTTATTCCTGTTTTCACATACACTGTCCACACAGGTAGATGCTTTGTAGTATTTTTTAAATAATCCTTTGTGATAATTTATGTGTATTGAATTGTAAAACATAGCAGTAACTTTTCTGATAATTGCCTTGGAATGTAATAAAAATGTACAGTTATGCAAAGCTAGGAGTGAAAGCTTTTCATATTGACAAGAGACAAATCTGGAATTTCTTCTAAACTCTGCAGTCCTCAGAACCTGAAAGCCTTCTGATTTACAGCATAAATGCAACCTTCAAAATACACCTGTTCCCATGTATATACAACACATCAAAATGTTTTGGACTGTATTTCTGCCTACTTACAGTAAAAAGGGATAAAGACAATTAAAACAATTGTGTTATGTACATAAAACATACACACATGATATTCTATAATATATGTAATTTTTATAAAACGCTTTCTATATTGCGTTTATATGGAAACACTCTGAACAGCTGTGAACTGTACTACTGTTTCCTGTTAGTAGCGCTCTGTTGAAAATTGCAGCTGATTTTTCATTGATTTTGCACTCCTGCTTTCTGAACATCCTTTAGACTCCTGAGTCCACCTCTTGATGTGTGAGCTGAGTTATTGCACACTTGCAATTCCTTCAACAAATTTTTTTTTGAAAAAAAATGTGGTAACCAAGCACATACAGACTCAAACTTTCCTACTGCCTCTGTCTACTGACTCTGAAGATATGTATTATTTTTCCCAATGATTTGGATACTCTTCTTAGGACTTACTATTACTGTGAATTTGTCTTCTAAAGAAAAAAGTAAGTAGAATATAATCATTGCTCCTTTATAATTAAAAAAGTTCAGCAATAGTTGCAATTGCAATTTCTGCTAAACTGCATGGATTAAAACAGAAATGTTTGTTGCTAGAAGTGCCAGGAGAGAAGCGCCGAATCTGAAGAATTCTAACATGAGACAGTTGAAATAAGGTCTTGAGCACATGAGCAACCAAATCAATTGCATTTAAGAGATTTCATTTTATTCCAGTTACATACCCTGTGGATTCTAGCAGGATAGAAAAGACAGAGATACATGTATCATCTAATTATGAAAGTGAAATACTTCTCCTGAAATGCTGCTCAAAACCCAAAATCAATCTGACACTTATTAAATTAGGATAATCAAATGCTTTTTTATTATTATCTGGATGCAAATTGTATTTGAAACAATCAGCGAGGTAAAAGATTTGCTACTTTGGGAGTAACAGGAACATCTGTCTTGTTCGGGCTCCTCCTTACCTCTGAGGGGGTGATATGATTCCCTGAGTATTGGCAATACACTAACAGTAAATTCACCAAATCATGTGATGTAAGAGAAATAAAATTTGCAAGTGAGAAAACCAAAGTTAAATGTAACGTTCTGAGTCAGTGAAAGCTGTGCATTTAGCTACAACAGGATAGTTAACATTGTGTTTTTTAAACTCTATCTGCCATTGAAATGGAGACTTATTTTAGTTAATTTTTCACAACTGTGCAGAGGTATCTGGCCATACAGCTGCTGTAAACAATTAGAGAAATTACAGAGCTAAATTACCCAATGTAAAGCA